CTGCACATCATGATCTCCTGGGAGGCCCACTAACCTAGAGGATGGTAATGTCTGTTATCACTTCAACTTCTCCCACTATTTGTGCTGGATTGCCATTGCCTATTGATATAATTAAGTTGTCACATACTCACATACAAAGGCTGGCTTTTGTAATTCTTTTAATTTCAACAAGAGATTCCTTAAGTTTTCCTAGTTCCTAATCATAATGGTACCATTAAGATATCTAAGGTTAATATTTCTTCAAGTAATTTTAACATCAATGTCTATCTTTTCTCATGATATACTCTATGTATAAAATAAATAAATAAGCTAACAGCATAAAACCTAATCTCACTGCTTTCTCAATTTTGAAACATTTGGTTGCTCCTTATTCCATTCAAACTGCTGCTACATGGTCATCACACAAATGATGAGCTGATGAAATGGCCTGGTACTTTCATGTTTTTAAGAGTTATCACAATGTATTGTGGTCTATGCAGTCAAAAGCCTTTGCGTAATCAATTAAGCAGAAATAGACATTCTTTTGAAACTTCCTTGCCCTTTCAATTGTCAGTTGAGTATTAGCAATAGGATCTTCTTCTGCCTCTTCTGAATCAAACAAATAATCTGGTAATTTTAATCCCATGTATTGTTGAAATTTGGATTGCAAAATCTTGAGGATTATTTTTAGGAACGAGCAAAAGAAGTGCAAATGTTCAATAGTTTGAGCATTTTTTAACACAACCCTTTTTTGAGATTAAAGTTATATAATTTTTATAGATTAGTATAAAAGCTATCTTTTTCAGTCCTTTTCATTTTCTATGCAGGCTCACAAAACCACACACAGCATCTTGTAACATTTTATACAATTCTTCTGGTATTTCATTAACAGGCTGGTAGTTTGCACATGCAGTGTTGTTCTTAAAAAAAAATATCCTAGGACTCTAAAATGTCTGGCTGTAGTTCTATGACCACCTTATGATCTTTCCATACAATTCTTTTATATAATGGCACCATCTCTTCCAGTATCAACCTCTCCCATTAATATTTGCAATGCCGTATTAGTGTTAGTCGGTCTACTATAAACAGCACATATCCATAAACATTAATTATGGAACACAAAAAGGGTCAATCTCAAAAATAAAGCTCATATTTTTGCAATCTGAAGTTTATCCTTTCTAATAAAAATAAGGATTTAAATTTGTTTTTTTTTAATTTACAATAAATAGTTTTATTTTATAAGACTGAGTTCTAGTATGCTTTGCTTGATGATTAAATTAAAATTTAATTAAAGTGGGTAAAATACTTTTGTGTAAAGAGATTGCAATGTATCTTTACAGATAAAAGCATGGCCTCCTGATGTGATCAGGAATTGCTCTTTTTTTAAGGTAGGATAAATTCTTTATGCCATTAGCATGGCAAGACAATGTCAAATAACAAAACAACTTGATCACCTGCCTCAGAATGAACAGAGAAAAACATACAAGTTTAGCTTAAGTTATAAATTTGTCCCATCTGTGACAGTTTTAAGCAAGCCCCTCATACTTACAATTCTTTATACCACCATGGGATAACTTTGACTTCAGTACTATATTTTCTAATTATTATGCATAATATGCAAAAGAGTTTTTTATCACTTAAGGTCATGGCTATATAATCAAAAATATTTATGCAGATAGATAGATAGATAGATAGATAGATAGATAGATAGATAGATAGATAGATAGATAGATAGATANAGATAGATAGATAGATAGATAGATAGATAGATAGATAGATAGATAGATAGATAGATAGATAGATATAGAGATATATATCTTTTATGCAATATGGCTTTTGGAGATCATATAGAGATACAGCTTTTTATATAGGTCATGTTGTAGCTTGTTCAAAATACAATTTGCCCGAAGAAATTCAAAAATCAAACCATTGCAAAACTCCAGCTGAGAACTGACAACCAATGCAAGACTAAATCTTTTTATGGCAATAATCACTTTTCAAAAATAAGGAGTCTGTCATTCAAATAATTTATTAGACTGACATCCTACCTTTCATCAAGGAGCTCCACACGAAATCCCCCCAAAATACAAGGTTTGACTGTGAGACACTAACTACAGTATAACTCAAATCATTGACGTGAGCTGCCAAGATTAGAATCAAACCTAAATCTTAGCCCACCATCTTAAGTAACATAAATATTACATCTTACTTACAAACATACAAATAAACATATATCATACCCCACTTCAGAAGGCTCTGTAAAAAACCGGGTCACCATTCAAATGCAATCAACGTTTACAGAAAAATCTGGGCTAATCTTCTAACTCCATCCAACGCTACAGTGTACAAAAGCAATATATTTACTATTATAAATGCTAAATTTATAATACCTATCTGGACCCAACCCCCAATAATCCTTATAAAACGCATACTATAGTGGGGTACCGTCTGTTCTCATTAAGAAAGAAGAGACGCACAAAAGAAACACTATCCGGTACAGAGAGCAACTGAAACTCTTCCCCCAGGCTCCACTCTTTCACTTACCGCCTCCATTACCGTGTTGCTGCCTCCCCGCGCCTAACTCAGAGAAAGGAAGGTAGCTTTCCACCCCTCAACTCCCAGTTGCCGCTCCCAGCATGCAGCTGAACTTCCGTCTTGAAGCCCAACCGCCCTCAGTTCCGCCAATAAAGGCGATCACGTGAGCGGAAGTTGGACCCAAGGCAAAAGAAGGAATGTGTAGAGTCGTGGGAAGATCGTATTTTTGATACCTGTGTAACGTCACGTAGTCGAGGGGGGCTGACAAGTGTTCATTAGACTTGCATTAAAACAAGGGGACGCCCACAAGCGCTTCAACACAATTTCTTTTCCAGCTCATTTGAAAAGAAATTGAATTTATATAGTTGGTGGGTTTTTTCCTGTTTAATACAGCTTACCAACTATGCACACACAAGAAAATTTGGTCATCAACATTTTTATTTCAGTACTACTGTAACTATAGGGAACAATGAATTATTTTAAAGAGCAGTTTGCATATTTGGTTTTGTTTTGTTTTTTTTAAATTCGAGATTGTTATTGAAAAAGCACGTATATAGCTGCCTTTTAGAGCTGTCCTATTAAAAAGATTCACTAACTAAAAAGGGTCCTAACAACAAGCACAGGAGTGCAGCCTTGGCTGCTATGAGTGCTTCACATTTCATTTCTTAAAATGCTATGATGCTTTTAGGTTTTATTCAATGGGTGCCAAAAGCTATCTGGAAAGTTTCCATCTTCAGAACTATTTATAACTCTCAGTATAGTAAGGAGCTTTTTATAATTCTCATGTAGTAAAATGATGGGCAGATTGATTGGCACCCTGCATGTTTAGCTCTAGCCATCATCAAGATCAGATAATACAGTAGCTGTCATCCAAAAATTGGTGCCAGCAATGTTTTGCTTTTTTTTATTTTTCTATTTCCACAAAAATTTAGATTGACACTCACTATCTTTGCTGACACCTCCGTTCTCACTGCTTACCCCATTAAATTGCCATGAAAATATAGACCGAAGCTGTTTGTTTATAAGCCCAATGATGATCTCTATTGAGCTCTCATGTGTTCTATTATAACCCGACAATTCAAAAAGCGGGGAAGGCTGGAATACAGTGACCTCACAGCCAATGGGACAATTTATAATCATACAAATAGGGTAGAACAGCTTTCTCCTAAATAAACCTGCAGATTACTTGACTTTGCACCATATTGTGACAGAGAAATATTCTTTAATATAAGAATTAACTTTAGAGTCTTTGGCCCATAGAAGATCTGGCTCTGGTTGCTTTTTAGATAATTTCTTACTTATCAGCCTAGATAGTGAGCCTTGTAATAGTATATGGTAGCCAAACATCAGAAACATACTAATAGCACACTAACAAATTGGATTACATTACTTTTTTCTTCGGATCTGCACCTAAATTTATCAGATGTTTTTGGCATTGCCAAAAAGGCATTAAGAGTTGTTAACCTAATCTTGCAAAGCTTCTCCGGTAATATTGTGCTGCAAACTAGGGCATACATAACCTTTGGTAGACCAATCCTCAAATACAGCTCATCTCCCTAGATTGTGCGTTGTATATTGGACATTAACACAATTGAGCGAGTCCAGGGGTATTTCATGAGAAGAGTACCCTGCTCCTCCATTCACAACATAATACCTTACGCCACCAGGCTCAAAATTTTGGGCATGGACAAGCTAGAATTACACCGCCTACGGTCTGACCTAAGTGTAGTATACAAAATTATCTGCTACAACATCCTACCCATCAACAACTACTTCAGCTTCAACCTCAATAATACAGGAGCACACAATAGATACAATAGTAAACCGCACCAAACTCGATTACAGAAAATGCGACTTCAGCAGGAGTGGTCAATGCTTGGAATGCACTACCTGACACTGTTGTTACATCCTCTAACCCCCAGAGCTTCAACCTTAAGCTGTCTACTGTTGACCAAACCCCATTCCTAAGAGGTTAGTAGGGGCGTGCATAAGTGCACCAGCATGCCATCCCTGCCCTACCGTCCCTATTTATTTGTACCCATTTCCTGTGTTCTTATTCATGTGTATTCTTATTCCTGTTATCTCGTAGATGAGCGACAAACTAAGTAAATGAAAGAAAAAGAAAAATTGATCTATGGATGCAGCTCACAGTAGGGTCTGATGAAATGAGCTGCAGTTCACGAAAGCCTATGTTTAGCCTAGTTACGTTTGGGTGAGAGGAGACAGCGGCTGCTGTGTCAGAGGATGACAGTAGTGGATTGATCCACTATTGCAACAGATCGGCGTACTGAATGCCTCTTTCATTTCGGCGGAGGGTGGGATGGTTCCGCCTGGGAGGTATTCGGTGAAGATTTGAGTCTCAAATAGAACTGAATAAGGAAATACAAATACAAACAAGGAAGGAGTGAATCTGAGCGTGGCATCGCCGCCAGTTTCCACGCCCACGAGCACAACAAAGAATGACATCAAATCGGACAAATTGGAGGATCCGCCTCCTTGCTTAGACCCAACGCTTGGGCACAATCAATGAGTTTGCTGTACCATCCAAAGTCTCTTTTATTCCGGAACGGACGTGGCTAAAAAAAAAAAAAAAACCCACTACGTCCATCTCTAGCCCAGCCAGAAGACGATCCGGCGAGGAAGCAAGGAAAAAGGCGTGTGGCTTGGTCGCCCCAACCCTCGGATTGACCCTCCGGCTGATCGGAGCTTCATAGCGGACGCGTGAGTCAAGGAGTGGGCTCGGCGCCCGTTGGGTGGCAGATCGTTTCATCGCCCGGCTCGGAGGCGGCCAGGCTGGGCAAAAACAACGCGCTCTTAAATTCCTACGCCGGCAGAGATGGCATTATTGTGGCCTGGTCCGTGGGCTGATTGATTCACTGCCTTTGGTATCGGGGAGGGAAGGCGCTCCTAGTCCCCCCCCCCCAAAAAAGGTCTGCTGGGTTGCGCGTGTTCTCTACTCCAGACGCAGTGATGGTGGGGTGCTGCCTTGGAGACTGGAGCATTCAGGCAAGGAAAGGTGACACGTGAAAAAGGAGCCTCTTCCGTGCCTTTCTGACACCCCGGCTTCTCAGGTAGTTTCCTGCTGCTGGCTCGCCTAAATAAATCCACGCGAAAAGGCCCGGCGGGTTTGCTCAAAGATGCTTTAGGAGGCCTTGTGTCCCTTCAGACGCTAAGCTTTCCCCCTTCTGCTTATTTGTCTCCTGCGGTGGAGCACTGGGTGGGCCTTTTGCTTTCACCTAGCCACAACGCAGATCTCTGCCAGCTTTGGCCCAAGCAAGGGGAGGGGAATGTTTTGCCAGTCCTTTCCTCTGGTGTCAAAATGTTGTAGCCTCACCTAAGGTTGTAGTCTTAGTTGGAAGTGAGGTGTATGTAGAAAGTCAGCACCCCCACCCCACCCCCCCTAGAGAATGAAATATTTTGGGGGATATTAAAAAGTCAGGATTGAATATTTCCCCTGAAGGAGAAATTAAAAAAAAAAAAAAGCACCAGCCTCTCTGCCCCCAAGTAGAAACTGAGGAGTTTTTAGAAATGAAGATTTGGTAATTCATTCAGAAAGACTGGGAAGACAGAAACTCCAGGTAAGTGATTAGGGTGACAAGATTAGCAAACAAACGCCTAGGACAGCAGTCACCAACTGGGGGTCTGTGGACCACTGGGGGTCCGTGAGAACATTTTGATGACCCCCAGAAAAATTATTTGCATTTTTTATATTGCACTAAATACTAATTATCTTTTTTTAAAAAAAATCATATTAGTGGTCCGTGGGATTTTAAATTATGAATTTAGTGGTCCCTGAGGTCTGAAAAGTTGGTGACCCCCTGACCTAGGATATGGATTGCCCCTTTTGCCTATAGAGCCAGCCATGACTCCATAGGAATCTGACAACAGGCAACAGAATATTAAAGGACATGTCCTTGCACAGGAACAGGAAGCTCAAATACAAAGCCCAAAGAAGGTATAAAAAACCTCCATTTATCAGCTGTTGCAAAACTGCCCGCTGTATGTGTGTTAGTTCTGTTCACCAATAAACAGAATCTTTTTTTTCCAATTAGCCTCCATTTTATTCCCAGCTTGGAACTGGAACTGGATTTTTCTTCCAACACAGGGTTACTGAATATGTAGTTTGTCCACACGTGGTTTTTAGAAATAGACCTACCAGAATTTGTGGCTGTTGTGCACTGGCTAGAGACCGAGATAGAAATAGAGAGACTATTCAGATCTTCATTCCCAAGCAAGAAGCTACAGTAAGTGGGTGGCCTTCAGCTAGTTAATGTGCACTGGCCTTTCTTTCTTTACATGGTTACTGGAGCAATGGCAGCCTTGGGCTGCTTAAAGAGAAAAGGACGGGGTAGATAAATATAAATATCAAAAATGAGAACACAGAGTTAAGCCATAATACCACCCTTCCCAAATTTGGGGGCACGCAGACATGTTGAGCTTCAAGGCCTATAATCTCTAGCCAGCAGGACTAAAGGGATGGGCTATAGAGCTATCTTGAGTACACTAGCAGCTACAAAAGTCTGTGCAATCTGAAGTGAATTATCTAGGATACAATAGCCAGGGAAAGCAGTTTCGTAGGACATTTCTTTCTCTCGTCCTTCCTTTCTTTTTATTTGAGATTTAGGTTTTTGAAATCCATCAATCGAGTCAGGTAGAAAAACCATGAGTTTTGAACTAAGGAATTTTGAACCCAAGAGTTAGTTCTGAGTAGCAGAAAAAAATTGAATTCTCAGCAAAAATCAGTTTGCAGCTATTCTAATCTTTCTTCATTTCAGCTGAATGTTGTAAAATGAAAACAGGAGAATATAACTGCAATTATTAAACAGAGCTTCGAAAATCTTATTAGCTGAGGGCAAATAATCCAGAGATTAACAATAGATTTTTTCTGTCCCCCTCTTTGTAATAGGTAGATTATTTTTGCTATTCCTTCTGCATCAAACTGGGAAGCTGAGCTCTTCAATATGAATCTATAATTGTTCCTTTATTTTCATTTGGAACTTTTTTCCTTAAACTATTTTGTATTTTTTTTCTTATTTTGCATTCAATTAATAAAGACAAAATCAATAATAAATGTACTGCCTCATCTATTCCCAACAACAAACCAAATTGTCCACATTTCACTTTCAAAGAAGACTTTTCTGTTTGATTAATAAAAACTCCCATACCTTGATGGTGATGGTGATGACATTTATGTTCTTGGAAGCAGTACAAAATTGATCTATCAGTACCTTTTTTTCCCAGGATGCTTGTCCAGTTTCCCAATATATCCTGGTAATTTTCGATCCAAGGTCTAATCAGGTTTGATCCTGCTCAGGTTTTAGCGGTCAGAGGAAAAGATCAACCAGAAAGGCCTGTATGCTGCCACCTGTTAGATCTCATCTTTCTAGTTAAAATATTTTGTTTGTTTGTAAAATGTATTGGCCACCCATCTTACCTCAGGTAACTCTGGGCACCTTAGCAGTCATAATTTGTTCTTTTATTAATTTTAAAATAGTGACAAGAAATGTCTGATAGTTCACATCAGGGGTAGGTTGCTGCTGGCGTTACTGCCAGGTCGATGTGCACACGCTTTGTGCAGTTGCCTATAAATTGTTCTGCGCATGCACAGAACATTAAAAAAGGACTTTAAAACATGCCGGCAACAGCATGGGCAACCGGGGAACTGGTTCGGGGGCGTGGCCAGCCTGCCGTCCCTACCGGTTCAGCAAACCAATCGCAATTTCCACTACTGGTTCACCTGAACTGGTGTGAACTGGTAGCAACCCATCTCTGATTTGCATGCAATTTCCTGTTGTAATCCCAGCATTGCAGCATACACACTCTTGGAATCATTGCCCTCCCCCCCTCCTCCTCCATAGTGTTCCTCAGCTAATGTAGGGTTTCATCTGTGAACATTTTTTGCGCATTTTCCCACCTAACCTTTTCCCTTTCTCTTTTCTCTGTCTAGAGCATGACAGCTCTTCTGAGGAGCCTGCTGGCAGCCTCAGAGAAAGCTGCCTGCATTGCCCAGCTATGTCGCCAAGAGGAGGCCCTCTTCAGCCTGCTCATCGAGGAGAAGAGAGGCGCAGACAAGAATAAAAAGTTCTTGCAGGACTTCAAGACATTGGCAGACGTGCTAATCCAAGAAGTCATCAAACATGATGTGGGAAAAGAGGTAGCTGCTTGGAGAAGAGTTCTCTGTTTAGGGAGAGACATAATAAGGTGAAGATTGGGCCGTATCCTAGAGGATTTAAGCTCTTTTCCTCTCCAGTGTCATTCAAAGTGGCTTTTCTACTTACTCTAAACTCTTAGATTCTAAAGTGTTATATTCTAAACACAAATAGCAATAGAAAGGAATAGCTAAATCTACAGCATTTGCAAAAGATAGGAACTGGGAATGGACATGGATCTATCACCCGTTTGAATAATATAATTCAGTTGTTTACGGTTCAGTGCAATAGCTGTTCTCATGTATCCCAAAAGCTTCACACATCACTTCTCACTCCTCAAATAGCCATGTAAAGTTGGCCTGCGTTATTATTCTTACAGCAGGGTGGAGGCAGTAAAAGCTTAGAGATGCTGATTTGCTTAGGAGAATTATTAAATTCGTGATTGAGCTAAAATGTTTATAGACAAGATTATTATTCTTCAGTCCTTGCTCACTTTGAAGTGAGGTGCCAGGAGTAGGACTCCAAACTGCCTGGGACTGATGTGACATACAGCTGTCTCCTCCTCATCCAGAGGATCAACCTGAAATGGGACACGGCAGAATTGTTGAACCCAGAAATAGCCATAACTTGTATCAGGCTTGTCAGCTTGGTTAAAGTGTACTTTCCTCTTCCTCCCTTCAGTTCCACTTTTCTTTCCTTACTCTTTCTCATTGTTGTTCACAGTTTCCAGAACTACAAGATCACATTTGTGGCGAGGAGTCCAACAAATTCGAAAATGGCCTTGGTGAGTAATCAGCACAGGGAGGAGGAAATACCAGCTTATTCTGTAAAATAAACTTTCCCCAACTGGACTCCTTCCAAAATTGCCCCATTACCTCTATTGAGACCTAAATAGGGCCAGATTGCCCTTCTGACATGCTTAGTCCTCTTTTTGATACATCAAGTCATTCTCCCACTTCCAGTTCCATTTTCTTCAGAGAATTATTTCCATCACCTGTCCTAGGCTTACTCTGATGGCCTCTTGCAAGCTTTGTCCCTGCAAAGATGTTTGCTCTTTATAAGAATTCCAAAAAATTGCAGACAGACTTGGGGTAAATATTTTAGGAGTCTTTCCATTTCAGGAAGAGCACTGACTAGATGTATTGGAGCTTTATATGAAAGAGGATCATGCCCTAAAATGCTAGCTGTCATATTAAATATAAAATCAAATGCCTGGTGCCAGGATTTTTCCCCTTTCTAATTCATGGCAGTTTCCTTATTTTCCTTTCTAAGACAGTCATGTTAAGGACCTTCGCGTGAATTAAACTGCTACAACATCCATTATTCACTCACAGAGAATATAATGTCTGTATTGGGTGGGGCAATTGTTAGTGGTAAGGTATTATTTTTAGAGTGTGCCAAGCTGCAGATTTTGCCTTAGAAGGGCAAAAAAAGGCAAAAATCCTGTAGATTTTAACTTTGCTCTGCAGTAGAGGAAATGATCAATAGATTAGTCTTTTTTTGTACTACCAAGTACTCCTGCACCTCCCTTCTTTTAAGAGTTTGTCAGAAGAGCAGAAATTCTGCATGCTGTTACGTCTGATTATCTCATTTCTCTTTATTTTTTTAAGTCCCATCTCAAAAAACTAAAGATAAATATTATTGATGTAAACCATCCTGGGCGTCGGTGCAAAGAATCAGGACCACACGTTAAATTCTAGTTAAGCTGATTAACTGAGCTGTTAAGCTCATGCCTATACACAAGAATCTAGTCAACTAACCATCAGTACTAAATTGGTGCTAGATAAGAATTTAAGAGGGGTTGAACTTAGACTGCTTGGGGAAACCAAACAAACCCAGGTTGATTCTTCTCAACTCCACCCCTAGGCTCTGGCTGTCCTTCTCCTACATTGGGCTGTATTGCTGTTTAACTCATCTGTCAATTGAAATTGACTAGCTAAAAGCATATCTCCTACATCTCACCCCTATCTTTATCTTTCTCACAGTGTGGGCTGTAGTAGCACAGACTGTGGTGGAAAAGGACGAGCCATATCTCAAGGAAACTTCTCCATCACTATGGGCGTTCTGCGGGAGCCTCTGACAAACTTCTAATGAAACTTAAGAGTCCCTCTCAGAATGGTCTAAGAAATGTGACATTAAAATATTTGTGATTGCTTGACAAATGCATAAGACTCTGAGAATAAATGTGAAAGATCCCCTCTTGAACAGTCTCTGAACTTTATTTGCCTTTGCAGGCGAGATTGTAGTGGTTCAAGTTTGCCCTACCCAACAGGAAACAGCTGCCCTGCTGCAGAAAGTCCTGGATCGAAAACAAACAGCAGCTGAATTGTTGGCAGCTGCTGTTCATCAGGAAGTAGTGCTTTCAGACCCAGCACTGGACAATGTGGATGTGACCATCTCCACAGAGAGCTTGGCTGTATGGATTGACCCCATAGGTAAATAGAATGATAGATGAAGGTTGGGCATTGGAAGCCATTTTCATACAGTCTTTCTCTAGTGCTGAGTTTTGTCTACAGGTAGTCCTCTACTTACAACCACAATTGAGTCCAACATTTCGGTTGCTAAGCGAAACAATTGTTAAGTTTTATTTTGCCCTGAATATTTTCTCACAATTGTTGACTGAATTACTGCACTTGTTAAGTTAGTAACACAGAACTGGTTGTTGGAAGAAATCTTTTCCCCCTTTACAGGGTAATCCTGCAAGGGAGGCAGGAAGGAAACATTCTGGTATGCCTGTATTCCTAGCCCAATACTTATCTTAATTGCCCTGCTGCTTTAAGTGTTTTCAGAAACTGCCTCTGGGTTGAGCTTGTTACATTGTAAGCCTTATGGCCAGACTTTCTGTGTTACATTGAGCTTCTCCGGAGTCCATCCCCTCAAGTTTTTTGTGGTACTTTTTCTCAGTGGTGGGATCCTCCCGGTATAACAACAGAGCATCTTGCTCTGTTGTTAAACAGAGCAAATTGCGCGATGATCACACAATTTGCAAGGCATAAACAACATTGAATTGGCCATGCCCACCAAGCCACGCCCACCCAGCCAGTCATTAAGGTAGAGAACCGGTTGTTAAAAAATTTGAAGCCCACCACTGGTCATAAGTCACATTTTTCGGACTTC